GCTGCACTGAGACCCACCTGGGCGGCTGCAGCGCGTTGGGACGCCGTGCTCTGGCTCCCGCTCCAGCTTAACCTCACTGGGGAACTTTGCAGGTTAATAAATAGTTAAATTTTGACTAGATAAGAAAATGGAAACCGAGTAACTGGGAAAGGTTTGGTTTTCTTTTTTTTTTTTTTTTCCTTCAACCAGACTACTTAAGGATCTGTAGGATGCTCTACAGGAGCATCCTGTATTAAAAAACAGGAGGCTGTTTTTTAATGACACCACCTGAACACCTATTGCCTGCCTCCCTAGAAGATGTGGTTGAACCCAAGTTACTAGTCAGGATGAACCTCTCTCCTGGGTCAGCATGAGTCYGTCCTGCTTTGCTCTTCTGATCTTCAGCACCAGGCACATCAGGAAACTTAACCTGGGCCAAAGATTTCACAGGTGGCTTTTTTTTTTTTTCCAAGCCTTTTCACACATCATAAAGCAGCGTCCAAGAACAGAGGTCCAATTCTTTCCTGAGGTGGTTGTCGTGCTTTATATAATACTACCATTATTGTTGTTGCTGATTAGTAACTCTCTGAACTTCCCAGGTGTCTCCCAGACACTCTGGCCTCTGGAAATGCATCATTTAAAAGATAACACTGGGGTTGGGTGGGGAGAGATAACAAGAGAGATTAGTCAAGTTTTCTGTGTGTTTTAGCTAATAAAGAAAGGCTGCACCATGCATACATGGCAGTAGTGAATGTAATCAGATCTGCCCCAGTTTGAAKGAACAAAATAACCTGATTCCTGCAGGTCAGGAGCCCCCATGGGTCAGGAGCTCAGCTCTTCCCCAGCAGGACACAAAATGCTACAGCTTCACTGATCTATCTCTTTAAAGCTTCTCTGCATGGACTTGTGCACAAGTAAATGGCACCCAACATCCAAGCAAGACTAGAAAAAAAGGTATTTARAATTTTTAAAAGCCAGACCATTCCAGCAAGCTTTCTCCCTCTCAAACTGCGGCAAACTGTTCTGTGGGCACCAGCAGATCAGGAGCTTGAGTGAAAATCAGTGGAAACAGCTAAAATGGTTGTGAGGGGGTGAGTCCGTGCGGAGGGGTGAATCAGCCAGCAGTGCCCACTGGGAGCAGCCCTGGCTGCGTGGGGAGGGCTCGCGTGGGATGGGGAGACTCATATGCCCCGTTYGCAGAAATGCTGCCAGGATCCAAGAGCTGCTGTGTGCAACGGGGCTGGATGATGCAAGGGGGCTGTACAGAAAGTGCCTAAATGGTGTTACCGGGTTTTTAAGGAGCTCCACCCTTCATACAAGGCCTGCTCAAGGCCGTGGATCAGCAAGGCTTTTCCAAGGGATGAGGAGGAGCTCTGAATCAAGGCCAGGCACCTCTGCAAACACCCAGGGGAGGCCGACGACGTGATCCTGCGAGCGTCGAGAGGTGCAGGGAGGTTGCAGCAGCGATTCAGGCAGAGGCRGCTGACCTGGTGCATGGGCAGATGGCGCCTGGGTGGTGACAGGAGGTGGGGAGCGATGCTCCCATCCACATGCCTCTTGGACAAAGCATGGAGCTGGCTGGGGCCCTTGCTAGGACTTGACTGCTGAGTCAGACCCATGCACGAGCCTCTCCCTGTCTTCTGCTCCCACATACCCACCAGCCATGACTTGTGTCAGAGAAAGCACCAGATGCTTCTGCTCAGAGAAACCAACGCATGGGAGCTGCTGGCGCCTGCAGTTTGTATTTGTGTGCCTCATCTGAGAAATGCAAGCCTGAYGGAGCTCTGAAATGCAAGCCTGAAAGAGCAGGGGCAGGTTTGCATTGCCTCTAGCAGGCGCAAGTTCCCTCAATGGTAACAGCAGTGCGAGGTCTCTCAGAGGACATTTGCGGAGGTGAAGATGGTCTCCAGGCCTGGAAGACAAGGAGCAGCCCAGACAGTGCAGGATCCCAGCTGTAGCAGCCCCCCTGGCTGCACAGGCTACGCTGAGAGCAGGGCAGAAATTTGTCTGTGCAAACAAAGCAACTTAACCCAATGGAGTTTGTATCAGAAAAGGGGACTTGAATGCAAACTTTTACATACGCTCCCTCGGCCTTCCCTTGAGAGACACCTCCCCAGGCCAGAGCTCRCAAGACCCGGAGCAGCCCCCCTTAGCTCAGGTCTAAGCTAAATGGAGCCCTTAGTCCCTGCAGGGCCCGGCAGCGGTGGCAGCCTCGGCGCTCGCCTTGCAGTGTCACCCTGCCACGGCAGGTGGCAATGGCAGGAGGCAGTGGCGGCTACAGAGCCCTGTTTGGGCAAGGGGGGCAGAGGTAACAGCCGCATTTAGAAAATCATCCGGTGCAATGGGGAGCGGAGGTCTGCCCTGCGCCGGCTATGGGAGCGCTTCCCAGCACACCATCCAGAATGGGTGGGAAGAAGGGAAAACCAAGCCTTGGTAACGGGGGACTGGCCCTGGAGGAAGAGAGCGGGATGGAGCGGGGAGTGCAGCAGGGCCGGCATAAATGGCAGGTTTGTGTAACAGCAACGGGGACACACAGTGCCTCTCCCTTCCTCCAGCTGCTGGATAAGAAAGCAAGGGGAGAGGGGACCTGCCAGAGAGGTTTCCCAGAGGCTCTGATTAAGCCCTTGGCACTGAGGCCAACTTGAGCAATCTCTGCTCTGGGTAGAACAACGGGAATCACAGGGTGGGGACGAGTGGCCAGGGACAGGCGGTGACGACTGAGCCAGCTGCCGCTCCAGAAACTCCCCGAACTACCACGTGGGACGTGGGACGACGGTGGTGCCAGTGACCGCCTGTCACCATGAGCCAGGGATTTGCGGTGGGACCATGGACCAGGCTGTGGGACGCGAGCAGAGGAGGCCATGCCGCATCCTGGCTGTGCTGCAGGAAGGGGGCGGGCAGCCTTACCCAACTGGGGAGACATGGGAGGAGGCCTGAAACCAACAAAACCTGCTCAGTTTTCCCCCACAGGAAACAACCACCACTGCCGCAGCCAAGAGAGCCGCCTTCCCCGCTCCGGCCGCAGCCGCTGGAGAGGGGCAGGCAGGAGGAGGCCGGAGAGGCGAGACCAGTGCCTGCTGTTGGTAGAGCGCTGAGTCTCCTCATGCTGTTGCCCTCAGCTTCACAGAGCAGCAGGCGGCAACTGTGAAGAAGGCRCCAGTGTCGGAAGGCGGCAGTGTCCCCCGTCACCTGGGGACGTTTCCTTGGCAGTAACAGAAGTCAGGAGATGCCTTAAAGGCGGGTGGGTGGCTGTGATGAGGGCTGCAGAGCGGTGTGACAGGAAATGTCGACGTCAAGCACCTCTCTGGCAACCGGTCTTTCTTGCTGAGTCAATAAATGTGCCGCAGCTCTTGGGGTTATCGCAATCCTCAGCACAGGTCAGACCTGGTGTGTTTGCTTCTGGCCCATCCGCCTGCCCACGTACCCTGGTAATGGTGCAGCACAAGGCGCACACTCATCAGGATCGTCCCATTTCTTCGTTTAAGCTTTGTGGCACCAACATCATTTCAAGTGACACTACAATTCACACCCTTTTCCACTTATCTGGGCTTAACTGGCAGTTTGGAAAAACCTAACTGCTAGAAGACTGATATAAGCTATTATCATATCCTGGAGTCATATCCAGAGCTATTGTCATATCCCAGGTTGGAGTTTAACAAGCACATGCTTTGTGATGGATACCAAGAAAATAGATACCAAGATACCTTTGCCCCAGCTGGAGAAAATGAAAATAAGCCTTAAGGCGCTTTCAGACGTACTGACACTTGGCATAGGACTATTTTGATTTGATCGCTGAAGGTGACAAGGCATGAGCAGATATAATCATTAACTGATCTCTGGTTTGTACTCCCTATGTGGTAGGTGATCTGCAGCAGTCCTTGGATGAAAGTCCATAGTCAGAGTTACTCTCTGAAATACAGGTCTGGAATGAGGATAGCTCTATAACCACCCTGCAGCCAACGTTGACGTCTGAGCTGGGTGCCCAGGGGATGGGCTTGTTCCTTGACAGGATGGAGGAAGACTTGGCTGGGATGGCCAGGTACTGCCAAGGTGCCCCTTCCTGGTTGCAAAGGAGCAGCTGTACTGAAGTAACAGCTTTATAACACTTTTTTTAGTGATATTTACTGCTCAGACAGGGTGTCATGATAAGGGCAGTCTGAACAACACCCACAAAAACAGACTCATCATTTCTCCACTTCTGCCAGTATTTTCAACTGGGAAACAGCAAGATTCAATTTACATGCAAGTGTAATTTTCCTTCAAGCTTGCTGGCAGAAGACACTCAGTAAGTTCCTTTCATGACAGAGATTAATAAAGGAAACCTGCTGTGAGGTGAAGGGAGACCAGAAATGAACAGCAGGCCCTCAGCTGGTCTTACACTCCTGCTGCTTGTGCCTGCAGGCCCTCAGGGGACAGGGACCCCTGAGCCAACAAACCCCTCAACAGCGTGTCCCCATGCAGGGCCATGGCAGCACCTACTCAAGAGTATTAGGCAGCAGTAAATCCTCCCTGGACCAAACTTGATGTGAAGGACAGCTGCTCCTTGATTCTTGCACATGTTCCTTCAAAGAGCTGCTCCCCAATACAAAACCAAGTATGCTAGTATAAAATAGAAACTATTTCTAAGAATGCTATCAATCTCAAGGCCTGAGGAGAGCAGYCAACAGATAATGAGAGAGAGAGAAACGGGCACAAGTACTAACATCTAGTTGTTGCACTACACCACTTTGACCATCAGGGGACTTGTTTTCAAGGGTCTCCCCTCTGCAAAATGTACAGATTTCTGTGCACAGCACAGCTCCAGTGCCTACACATAGGTAGGGACAAGAAAATCCAGGGCAGCACAGATACAGCTGGGTTACAAACAGGTCTTTATGCCCATCTAGAAGGGCAATGTATCAGTTACGTACAGGCCCTAGGCAAAAAAACAATCTTTTATAAGCAGTAATGCTTTATTTGAATAGCTACTTGTCACTAATAAAATACTTAAGCATTCACATACAGACTTTCACTCCATTGGCAAATGTTAAAGTATTAGTCTTTTATTCAGAGGACTTATCCCATTTCTATTTTTTGTGTTTTTTGCACATATTTCAAAGCAAAGAGCTCCTAGTTTCACACCTCAGCACCATCAGTCTACCGCAAAAAAATAAAAAGAAAATAAATCAAAAGCAAAAAGGCTCTATGATGTGATACAGTATAAAGAAACAAGTGTAGTTAATATATCGTTAATACATTAAAGTCAACACATGCTAAGTGGACTATTTACATAAAATTACCTACATTCTTGTCAGACTGGCAGTATGCAAGTAAGAGAATTAAAAGACTATTGATACCAGGTCTGCTAGATACTTAAAGCTCATCTACCTTGGCTGTATCTACATTGTCATGCAGTTTTAAGGCTAGAATTTGCCCTCGGGACCTAGATGCCCCAGTCAGCACGGCCAGCTCACACAGCTCGCTCCATGGCAGGCAGGGTACAGGTGCAKGAGCTGCCTGCCCAAGCCTCACGCTGTGCTTTCACATGTATAGATGTAGCCTACTGCTATCTCCTGTCTATTAGTATGGTATTATTGGTACATCTGCACACACCTGGTCAAAAAGTCAAATATTCACTATAACACCTTAAGTAACATGGAAACTTGTATTTTTACAAAAATATTTTMGTTGTCTGTCCATAAGTAAAAACTATCACTATTATAAAAAGTCTGTAATACTAGAATATCTAGCTTGGAAAGAGTTTTGTTCTTATTGCTGTTGCATATGCAGCTTTTCAGGAGCTGTGTCAGTGTGAAGGTGGTAGTRGGTTTCCCACTTGCCATGGTCAACTTGTAAGGATATTCATAGAAAAATACACTTCTCYATTTAATCCTTAGATAAAATTCACATATTGAGGCTGCCCTGACTTTTAACAGGTGTATAAATTGCACTTGGAATTCTACATCAGAGTCTCTCCCAACTTAAGCTATTTAATATTACAGATCTTACTTGCAGCCTTTAGAGAAAGGAGTTCACTCCAAAAAGAGTGAATACCAACATTCACATCACCTTAGCTACTTGAAAACCCTGTGACTGTATTCTGGCAGCTATCAGATATTAACTCGTTCATCTCATTTTGTTTCGTTTCTTCTTTAGTCTCATGGTTGGGGTGATGCTTTGGATTTCCAGCCTTTCTAGACCTCTTAAGGAAGAATTTGACTAACAAGTAACATAATTCAGCCACATTCAACATAATGCAAATACTAGACACAGCAATCATGAAAATAGTAAACACTGTCTTTTCAGTGGGTCGAGAAACAAAGCAGTCTACCGTGTTGGGGCAGGGCCAAGCACTACATTTCATTAAGCGAGGCATTCGGAACCCATCGTACAYGAAATAAAAGGCATACATGAAGACAGCTTCAAAGATCAGCCTGAAGAAGATGCTGCTGGTGTATGTCCACCACAAGGTGCCCTCAATATGAAATCTTTGTGCTCGGATTTCTTCAATGTCTTTATATTCACATTTCTGATCTCCCTTTCTGAACTGCCTCTTCTTCTCGTGCCTTCTGTAAGCCACGTGCATGGCCACCAGCAGCGCAGGYGTGGAGACAAAGATCAGCTGCAGGGCCCAGAGTCTGATGTGAGAGATGGGAAAGAAGTGGTCGTAACAAACATTTTTGCACCCAGGTTGAAGTGTGTTGCAGATGAAATCATCTTGTTCATCTCCCCAGACTCTCTCTGCTGCTACAACCAGGATCATGATACGGAAGATGAACAGGACTGTGAGCCATATCTTTCCGATGCTGGTGGAGTGTTTGTTCACACCTCCTAAGATGGTCTGCAGAGCTCCCCAATCCATTTTCTTGTTTTAATTGTTCTGCCTAAGATGAGACAAATGAACAAAAAAAGGATTAATCAATAGGAACCAAAACACCAAGTGTGGCATTAAATAGATGTAATGTTGTACAATTGCAGTATATTTGTTGACTACTGGTCTAGTGTTGTCTTGCTCAAACAGGCATAAAGTGACAATTCGGAATCTAATCTTGTATCAGGAAGAAAATGTTTACWCATCAGCACAGATGAAAATAACGTGACTTTAGATTTGTTCGACCCATTGAAAAYAGCCACATCAGTAAGGGAAAAAACAGATAGGGAGAAGTGATGAAGATGGCATTAAGTGCTATAAAGCTACAACCTCGGGAAGTTTGTCAACAGTAACCAAAGGGTAACAAAAAACAGTGGTCAAAAATAAGGTACTTTAAACTGTGTCTATCTTGTTATACATTTTAAGAGCCTCAAGAATTCTCAACATAGGAATGCAAATGGCCAGTTCAGAGCCCGAGCAGCAACTTACTGAAGACTTAAGCCAAAAACTTGTATGTTCTTGTAAAATAACTTTACTTGGGGGAGGGGGRAAATTAGGTGGTTAAAACTCCTATCCACCTTGAGTGAAGCTTGCCATTCCTTAACTGCACGCTGTAAACAGCATCACCACAAGTACCTTCCAGCAAGACAACCAGCCCAGCTGCTGTTYGGGGCAACAAGGGCAGCCCTGGATGTTGTGCTGCAGGTTCTTAGTCATAGGACTGCAGATCTCTCTGGACCATTAACTGAAGCAAATCCCACCATATAGTTTGAGACAAAGGTGAGACCTTCGGTCATGATCCATCTCCTCTTGAGGAAGATGTTTAAAGCTTGACTTTCATCCCCAAATTCCCTTATCTCTCACTAGGTACCACACAAGGCACCTGGTAACCAGCTGCCAGAACCTTTGATGTAGATGCCTAGTCAGCTGATGGATCCACTCCCATAACAGCTCCTAAAATAGGGGAGAGGTCTTAGAGGCTGGGAGAAAGCCAAAATAGATATTTGAAGAGCTCAGAGAGGCCAAAGGTATCTGATCTCTCTCACAGACCTTCCTACAGAGACATAGTTTCCAACAGGTGAACTTCTAAGCACTGGGACTGTAATGAGTGGAAGTATTTTACCTTTGTGTCCCACATACCTCCCCCAGGAGCACTGCAATTTTGTGGAATCTAAGCAAGCAGCTTTGTCATGAGAGTCATTTACAGAGAGCAGTAAGAGGAACTTTCCCCTTCAGAGAGATTTACAGAAAACTAGTTTGCAGGTTACTTCAGATTTAAGAGACATTTCTTGTGATAGTCGCACATCATCTGGAAGTGCTCACAGTTTTCGGCCCTGAAATTCCCCTCAAAGGGTTTTACTTTTCTACAGTGTGAATTTTATTTTCTCAGGAACCAGCTTTGGTGCCACTGCTGTAGGGGCTAAACATTATCAGCATTCCTGTTCCAAGTCTTACAGAGGACAGAACAGCAGCCATGGGCTCAAAGGCCATCATATCTATCACGTGATGCAATTTTAAGGTTTTCCTAATTGAGTTGGRTCACATTGCATGGCACAAAAAGAAAGATCAGTTGATTTGTGCCTATCTTCAGCATCGACACTCCCATTCTGAGTAATGGTAAAAAGAAAATGCTTTACGACAGAATCAAATATAATCACTAAGTCACATGCAACAATTTAAAGCATCAAAGTGCATGATTGCTCAAGAAAACTGAATGAGCAGAAATAAAAAGCTATCTTCTTGAGTTATTGGAACATCAGTGTCCTCTCTCCTCACTGATCCATCAACTATGTTTTTCTCAGGTAATGCTGACTAAATCCTGAGCGAGTTCAGGAGGTGAAGGCCAGTGAGGGGAGAAGAAAATTCGGTTTTCAGATTGAAAAACTTCCTCCCAAGCCTCCCTCAGGATACAGAATTGCCCTGTGCTGTTCACCTCCACATCTCTGCAAGTTGGAAGCAGTTACCATCCCATCCTGCTAAGTCATTTTTCCAAGACCAAACTATGCCTTTCATTAGCATACAGGCATAGAAAGAAAACAAACTCTCCATATGTTAACAAACCTATGCRGGCACAGAAAGACCCCAAATCCAGAGATCCTTACAAAAGAAGTTAAATTCCAGCTACTTAGTTCTACTGCATTGCATCTTCTCTCCTCCCTTACACAAAATAGGCAAGTTAAGCTTACTATAGAATTTGCTTTGGAGATGAACCTATATGCCAGCTTCTAATAATAACTTGCAGCTGTTTCTCCATTTATGTTTTGTTCCTCCCAGTTCCTTGCAGAGGTAACTAAACTGATTCTCAGTATCACAACTAGAAATATTTATGCAAAACTGAACATCAARCCTATAAAGAGACACCACAAACTGTTGCACTATATACATCATCCACCCATCCGTAAATTCTACCAAGCTTCTTGCATTTCCCATTTTTATTCCCTTGCAAATTTTCTCTTGTCATCCCTATCTCTTCTTCCTGTCTGGAAGCCCTCTCCTCATGCACATTCTGTTCTTTCATATTGTGAGAGGAGAGKGTACAAGTCTTTCCTACATTTCACATATTTGTCTTTACACCAACGTCTTGGCCTTTCCATTACTACAGATTCCCAAGGAGACAGCTCCACCTGCAATTACTCCTTCCCACCTCACTGGGCAGAGGGGGATTCCCAAAACCAAGGTGCCTAAGGACACTCAGAAGCTACCTACACTTGGGGCAAAGGGAAAGACACTTCCCTACCCAAGTGAAGTCCCATCACTGCAATTTATCTCCTGCAGTCACTTGTGGGGCTGCACTACAGACCAAGCAGCTCTTACCAAGATGCTCAAGTAATCRTCAGTAAAAAAGTTAAATAACTGCACTCATCTAACTCAGAGCATAATCCACAAACCACTCAAAAAAAACACACACCTCTGCTTCAAAGGGGCTGCAAATTGAAAARCACAGAGGGAATGAGCTGCCAGTAGAGGAGAGAAGGGGAATAAACTACTTTAACTACTTCACTGCTGTGGATAATATACGGTGAAGCTACACCCTCCATCTGACTTGTTTGACCTCCTTTGAGAGTCTACTTGAGCTGAGCCAGAATTAGGTGSTTCAGTCCTAGCAGGAGGACGTCCATAGCAGAAGATATGCAAAAATAAATAGATCAGCCACTACACCTCAGAGCAGCAGCCCTTCCTGCTCTGACCTGATGGACAACACAAACAAGCCCTAGGTCTCCTGGTGCAGTTCCCTCTCCAAACCCAGACATGGGTCAGTCTCTCACATCCACCCAAACCCACTTCAGTGTCTTCATTAGCTCCTCTAAGTTGCAATTCAGAGACTGACATCTGTCTGTCTCTCTCCAATAGAGAAGACAGAAACAGAATTCAACTGCTTACAGCCCTTCACACTTAACCCATCACTGAGAGACATCACCCTAGCTAAACATGCTCAGTTGAACCTCCCCATGAAGTCTGGGCAACCTCCAAAATTAAATTCCTTCACCCTGCTAAACCACTCAAGAATTAGGATGYTAACTTACAGTCACTGCCCATCTTTCTTTCAGATTATTTGCTTTTCAGGCCTTTTTACTAAAAAGTAAAATATTAACTGTGTTGTTGACCAAAAGGAGAAAAAAAAAAAAGCAAGTTGCTTCCATTTAATGGGTGGCAACTCTCCTTTTCAGAGATAGCTCTGTTGATAGCATGACAAGTAGAAAACCAGGATAAATGGCTACAGAAATATTATAGCACATAGTCAGCCAGAGACTCAACCTGCTTTGCTGGTCCTGGCAGTAAAGCCTTCACAGAGTGAGACAAAGACAGGACAGCTTGGAAAGAGTGTTTGAAATGCAGCAGGAGAACATGCCCGCCCGGGTCTCGGCACAGATCTTTGCCCCGATGGAGGAACAGAGGGATCAGCTGATAGCAGAGCAATCAGAGCAGCAATATGACACAGCTGTTGGTATTAAAGACTGACAGATACCCCTCTGAGAGGTCACAGGTATGAAGGAGAGCTTTCGTACTGGCACATGAGTTAGTTTTGTTGCTGCACCCAGCCTAGCACCGATCCCAAGTGCAGGCAGGCTCTAGCTCCCTTCCTATTTCCACACTTCTGCAGTATCTTCACAGATATTTGAGCTCTCTGCTGCCATCCTCAGCATTTCAAAAAGTAGCCCTGAAGTCTCCATTAAACTACAATCTAAGCACTACACATACACCCACTTAAACAATCCCAGTAATACACAACACCAAGGACAGTTACCGAGTTCTTGCATTTATGACTCCAACTTGTCAGCAGATCCTTTCCCTCACTCTGAGGCAGTTACCCTTGGAAATCATTAGCCAACAGTTAAATCTTACTTCAAAAAACTACAACAGGAACACAGTGAAGAAAACCAGAAAATTCCCKCCTTGCACACACACACAGTAGAACTCCCTGCCACGGGACATGGCCAAGGAAGAACATGGTAAGACTGAAAGTGCTTGAACAATATTTGCTTATGCTACAGAAGTATCCAAGACAGCTAAAAAGGGATACCTAGTAAGCTAATTCCTGTGAACGTGCAGAATAAGATGAAGCCCATCTCACACCTACAAACTGGATATCAACCTATTTATTCTACTCGAGTTAGCCAGGAATGTAGAGGATGGTTGGGACACCTCCGTTTTACTAGAACTTTAGGGCAGCGTGTCAGGATTTGCCAGCCTGGTGTGACCCTCCACCACTTTCAGCAGCACYTCTAGACAGAGGTTAAAATAGAAGGCAGCCAAAGCCAAAGTCTCTTTACCCAAGTAAAGAGACTGTAGTATCTGCAAGGATGGAGGGGCAGGGGGGTATCCAGACCAGAACTGGGGACGAGGGTATCTTTGAGAGCAGCAGGTCTAATGCAGAATTTTTTTTGCCATAAAAAAAAAGTTTAAGTTGCTTCAGATGCAAAATGACTAATCACAATAAGTATTTCCACCCAAGTACTTTAGGCTAAMGACTCACATGCATTTAAAGGTTTTACTGATACAACTTCTACACCAGGTCTTGATCTAGACCTGTCGCTGGGAGCATCAGGCAGCACAGGGGCAGATACCAGCACCAAGCTACCCCAGAGCTGTACATGCAGTTTCATTCCCAGAGCTAACAACCAGGCAAGTCTCTATTTCAGCAGTTTTACACCAGCATTTTTATTCCTTCTGCAGAGCTGCACTCGGCTGGGCCAACGCGAGTTGTGGTGCTGTGTCACAACAGAAATGCCAGGACCCAGCACAGGAAGCTTCCCATGAATACAGAGCAGATCCGTGTTTTTCCCAAAGACGGCTTCCTTTTATTTCACCCAGACAGACAGGCACTCTTGTCARCTCTCCCAGACTTGCCACAAACTTCAGGCTCAGTTTTCCAGGCGTTAAACCAGGGATAATCAGACCTCATGGGGTTGTTCTGAAATACTCCACTACCACTGGGGGCTTCAGATCCCTCCTTTGGTATCTCTCAGTGGCCCGAGATAGGTAAGTAAAGTGGAAGGAGAAGTACAGAGCTTGAATTGCACCACCCAGGATGTTCCTGATATTGAAGGGGGAAGGCAACTGTGTACCATGCTTTAATGCAGAGTTCAAAACTGTAAAATGCAGCTTTGAACTCCAGCCTTTGGCAACCAAAAGCCTTTTGCTCCACTATTTAAGGAAACCTGGGCAATTTTAATCTTGCAGCAATGTATTAAAAACCTTCAGGAAGCATCCAGCTGGAACACTTAAATATAAGCAACTTTACTTCTTAAAAAGAAGCTGAAGAAGGATCAAAGGAGCAGTGTAACCACCACAAAAGCCTGAGCAATCCACTCTAGTAGCTCTCAAATTCTAATCTGAACACCTATCTCCAGGCCAGCAGAGACCACAGAGCCATGTCCACCAGGGACTGCACGTATCTGATCTGACAYCAGAGCAGGCAAAGCCTATTTGGGATCAGGAAACCTCTGTGACAGAGTTGAACACTGCRAGCATTGTACTTGAAGTTACAGAAAACAGGAGGTATTTTTTGCTCTAATTAAACCAAGTGTGAAACTCAGAGAGCCCCCAACATGCTGGATTAACATTTTTATGACCCCATGTTCATGCAGTTAAACTTTAATTGACTACATTAATGGCTCTGTTCACCTTAAAAGGCCTCATATCTGTGCCCTTACGTGAATTAAATCATTTTTCCAAGGYTGTTTACAAGTCTTCACAGTTATTTTGCCAGCCCTCAGCTTAAAGTGGAGGATCACAATCYTCCAGCACATCCCTGCAGGAAATCTGCTCTACTTGGGGAAAACGAGCCACCAAAAATGCCAGCACACTTGGAGYCACAACAAGACAGAAGAATCTGTCAGGTTTTTGTCTCCTGCCAACCGTTCTGCCCTGGGCCCTTACCTCCAAGGACTGCTCATGGTTGCTCTTTGAAATGCTTCTGAATGGAAACCAGATTCCTAAGGACAATTTCTTCATCAATGTAAGTGGGTTCTATCTCCCATGTTTCATATGTGCACCATGTCCTGCTTTCATCTCAAAAATAGCATCTTTATTAGCTATGACATATTTGTTTTGTTTCATCTATTTCATCTCTACTTCTTTCCTCCAGTCATGGGGAAATGTCCATATGGCCTCTATATGCCACACTTGAACACTAGGTGTTCCTCAAGATTCAGCTATTTCTAGGTAACATTTTCTAGAGAACTGGCAAGTCATTTTTTTGCATATAGGATAGGACTTGAGCTCTTTTAGCATTTTAAAAGTATTCAGCATTTCTAGCATTTTAAATTGTAGTGCAGTTCTCTTGAATGTATATTTTTAATATTATTTCATCAAGAGCAAGGACAAGACAAATCTCTTCCTCTTTAAGGTTATGCAAAGGAAAAAAAATGAGGTATGAGATAAGCAACAGAAGCAGCTTAGCTTTAACAGGACAAACACTTAAACTTTCTTCCATTTCTTCTGCTTTGACAACACGTTGTCTTTCCTCAAAGCCCATCACTTCAGGTTTTTCCCTACACATATCAGTGTTTAGTCAGGCAAGAGTCACAGGAAGTTCTCCAGTCTGATAACACATAAAACTAGTTCAAGTTTGCAATTAAAAGCAGTGAGGCACATAACCAGGAAAACACTTGGAAGTGGAGAGAGAAAGGATATTAACAGTAATAATAAAAAAAAAAATCTATGCCCTACTTGTTACTGTTTCTGAAGAACACTGACTTAACTGGAAATGCTCACATGAGTAACAAACAGAAAGTCTATATATAATATATACTATAAAGCAACCATTTTCCTGACAGAGGTGCACAGAGTTTATACACTCGTAACAAGCTATACCTCTCTCCAAGTGTTGCTGTTCCCCGCTGGAAGATACCCCGCTGTACCCTCTCTCACTGTCTAATTACATCATCCACAAGTTAAGTAAAACTCCTTGAGGAGACTCACTGGGCTACACTTCAGGGGATACAACATAGGCTAAGGCAAAAAGCACAAAATGAAGTTTTGCAGAGGGGACCATGTCAGGATGGAATGATTCCTCCAGAGGAAGCTCTGAATTCACTTCTAATCCTCTCATTTTTAAGCCTTAACCCTTYTACCAAACACCAGGCTGGCAGTGCAGGAGCTGAAGCCTCTCAGAAATCCCAACGCACATAGAGGAGTGGTGGAATTTTGGGACTCTGCAGAGATGTTATTAATCCCACCTGGAAAGCTACACTGCAACACCCAGCCACCACAAGGCAGTGCCTCCTTGGAGCTCCTCACACACTGAGGAAGCTTGACCCACCACTGCCTTGTCCTCTCAGCTAGACCTACAAGCACATCCATGGCACAGCTTTCCTCGGGGCAAGTGTGAGGGCATCCAGACAGCAGGACTTCCTGATGGGACAGACACTGATAGATCCCACAAAGCCCCATACCACCTCAAACAGAACCGAGCCCAAGAACCTGCTGCATCCCGCTCCTCAGGCCAGGGGTGCACCTACTCTGTGGCAATCCCCAAAAAGACTCTGAGCCCAAGCCCACCAAGCACCCCACATGGAGCAAGGCTGGCTAGAGATCAAAGACAAACCCCATAAATGCTTTCRGGGAGTCTTCTTAGCACAAAGGGCTGGGTCCCACCTACAACCCTCTGCTCATCACTGTGCTRTACTCCTACGTGGCAAGCTGCAGTGCTATGGAGGACAGGACAAGAGCACATCCTTCTATTAAAAGGAAAGGAAGAAAGAGGAGGAAAGACATTCTCCAAAGCAAGAGACGGGAGATGCAACACCCTATTTCCACAGTAGCTCAATGACAGGGATAAGAAACACAGAAAGCCACAGCACAGCAGTCCATTACTACCTACGTGGGCGAGCTGGGCGCTCCTGCCCTTAGTCCAASGCATCTCCTGGTTGTTATTTGAGGCCTTGAGCGCTCACTCCTCGTGCAGCCTCATCCAGCCCCAACACTCAGAAATAACCCTCTTTTTGGCTCACACGGCGCGTTCCCCATTCCCCGCAGTGCCGAGGAGCCTCCCGGGCGAGCGGGCGCTCGCAGGAGGTGGCAGCTCCCCTGATGCAAGCTGTTTATCCGCAGCCACCCTCCAACCTCCGCAGGCGGGACACRCGTTACCTGCGGCTGCCCAGGCCTCGCGCTCGCTCCCGCTTCTCGGCTGCTTCGCTTTTCTTTCCGGCGGGTCAGGCGCTTCACATGCTGCGCTTGCGACGAGCTGCGGCAGTATTGCAAAGGGAAAAAGAAAAGAAAACAAAGAAAGAAAGGAGGAAAGAAACTTGTTAGGGGCTGGAGTGAGTAGGTGCGAGCGGCGAGGGCGCTCGCAGGGAGCGGGATCCCGGAGCGAGCCGGGGAGCGGCGAGGCCACGCACGGAACGGGGAAGCGCGCGGGGCCGCTCCGCTCTGCGCGCGGGGAAGCTCGAGGGGCCGCTCCGCACCAACGAGCTCCGCGACCGCCCGGCCCGGCCCGGCCCGCTCCGCTCCCGGCCGCGTTGTCCCGCGGCCGCCGGCCCGGCCCTCACCTGCCCCTCCGCGCAGGCCGGCGGCTCCGCGGTCGGGCCGGGCCGGTACCGGGCGGGTCGGGCGCCGCTGCGGGGCCTGTGCCCGCTCTCACCTGCGCCGCTTTTAACCCGCCCCCCGCGCGGGGCGGGGCGGCCCCGGAGCGGAGCCGGGAGCCGGGCCGAGGTGCCCGAGGAAACGGGGGCGGGCGCCGAGGCYGCGCAGCCGGGGCCTGCCCGCCTGGAAGTCAGCGGGGGGTTGAATTTTGGGACCTTATTTTAAAAAGAAAAGGAAAAGGTGATTGAAATGCCGCGGCAGTTCCCCGGGAGCCTGCAGCTCTCAGCCCCTTGCAGATTGATGGCCACGCGAGAGCCGTTTTGGCAAACTTCTCCGATTCCAAAGGAGGCTGCTGGGGAGCCRCTTCCCTTTCCTAACCTGTGGGGTCCGAAGGCCCCGTGCGGAGCGGCGGGTTCTCGCGGCTGCGGGTGGCACCCGGAGCGCACGGCCCCCATGAAGGAAGCCCACGTTCACACATGTCCAGTGCGCCCRGGTGAGGGTCAAGTGGTAAACGATTGCTAGCAAAATTCTTCCACCCATTTTCTGCACTTTCTGGAACAAGAACAATTCCAGAGAAAATACTTGGTCAAAGGCAATGGCTCATTTGATCTCACTGTGAAGTTCCGAGAGGTGAAAATGTCCTGCGCAGACAACTCAGTTTTATACTTCAAATATATGAAACTGCCATCAGTTATGATCAAAACGTCAGCTTTTGTCAGCTCCATGGCACCTCACTGCCCCTCACCGCCACCCAGCCCATGAAACCTGCACGTCAGGGCAACAGGGATTCGGGTTGGGAGGGATCTCAGGGGCTCCTCATCCCAYGAGAGCAGGGCTAACCTGCTCAAGAACTACATCCCATCTCCAAGGGACCAGGATCTGCTTCGGCTGCAGCCAGTCCGTGTCCCCAGCACAGGACCAGGGTATATGATGCTGCACAAAGTGAGACGAGCCATAAATTTCTGAGGTCGGAGCATGCGGCGCTCAGCCCCCGCGGTGGGAGTCGTGCCCACGGATGATGTTCAAGGTTCAGATGTACAGCGTGAGGAAGGGAGGTGGTTTAGGATCTGGACACCTGCCTGCAAGAGAGGAAGCCTGTCTCTTAATTAAAAAAAAAATAATTAGAAGAGATATCTGGAGGTTGTGTACTCCGTTCCAACTTGATTTGGTGACCTCAAAGAAGTCCCCACTGTACCAGTTAAGGTCAAGGAAGCTCTAAACAGTGGACATATTTAGCTGTAGTGGAGCTGTTTGTGCTGTTTTTCAAGGCTGCATTTGCTGCAAAAAGGAATTATTATTATTATTATTATTATTATTATTAACAGTAAAAAAATATGAAAAAATATCAGAGATAAGATCCTGAAGGGTTTACTGTGATATTAGCAAATTAGCTCAAGGAAATTGGCCATGGACAGGGTATTGCATGGAGCTCTCCCAGAGGCCTTGCAGTAACATCCTCGCTACGCTGTCTCCAACACCTTGTATGCCCCACAGTCAAAACAGAGTTTTGGCAGCAAAAAAATAAAAAGGTTTTAGCGATATTTTGTCTCTGAAGCATGAGCAGGATAGTGCCACTTGAGTGGGGAATAAGGGCCATGATCTCCGCTCSCTGGAAACTTTTTAACCTCACTTCACACACTTACAAGCTGTGTCAAATCCTGCTACTTTGACCTGGCAGTGTCTGCCTGCTGTTTTACTCTGATTATAAGTAATGTTGCAAGGGGCACTAGTTAGAAAGAAGAGATTTAGAAATTTATAAATGSTGGAAAATTAAGGAAATTTAAGGAAAAAGAAGATTTTTTTTTAGATTGGGCTCAGGATTTTTTTTTAATTATGGGGAAAGAATGAAATATAGTTAGTAATTACCTACTTATCAGAGCTAAACTGCACTTATTTCTTTACAAATGAGAAATGTCTTATGCATAATTTAGTCAGCATATAAGAAGCACTGCTTGATAAACCTGTGAAGTAAATACATGTAAATTCATTGCTTCTGAATTATGACAGTATATCCCCCTACTAGAGCTGCAACTGTGAGCTATATTGTGCATGTGTGTATTTTGTTTGTTATATAATTTAAAATAAAAAGGGGGAAAAGTGAAAGAATGAAGACAGAAACTGTCTATTTTTCACATATAAAAAAGAGGAAGATTCAAATTCTAGGTTTCATTTTGTGTCAATATATATCTCACGTTAAAATACGAGATTAAATAATCACAGGAAACATCTTTGCAAATATATTTATTGAAAAATACAGATTGAGAGCTGAATATTGCAGACCAAGGGTAACTTTGATTATAAAGCCTGACTTTYGGGTAAAGGCTTCAGCTTCAAGGTTGTAATGGCAAGCGAAGCTGGCTGTCCCACAAACACAGCTGAATCACAGGGACTCTGAAATGCTCCTGTAGTTCCTGTTTCCTTGTGACCACACCAATTCATGAAGAGCTTGAGAGGGCAAGAAGTTTGAGCTTCATTTTTCATGTACTTCCTTAGACTGCAGATGTCCACAAAAGAAAGCCAACTTATCCTTATCATAGAATCATGGAATGCCCAAGGTTGGAAGGGACCCCAGAGGTCATCGAGTCCAACCCCCCTGCTCACGCAGGGTCACCCAGAGCACGTGGCACAGGGCTGCGTCCAAGCGGGTTTTAAAGATCTCCAGAGAAGGAGACTCCACAACCTCCCTGGGCAGCCTGTTCCAGGGCTCTGTCACCTTCACTGTCAAGAGTGAATTATTATTCAGAAGGAATGAAAAAGGGGGAAAAATATCACCAAGATGCTTCTTCTCATTTTCTTTTCCGTGCTACGCTGCTTTTAAAAATTTGGAAGGACACAGGGAGTGGGAGTTCTTTCCTCCTGAATATTTCTGATTTCTTTTGGTATAAGTTGAAACACAGGAAGTTCCATCTCCAGGTGAGGAGGAAATTCTCTCCTGTGAGGGTGCCAGAGCCCTGGAAGAGGCTGCCCAGGGAGGCTGTGGAGTCTCCTTCTCTGGAGRTCTTCCAAACCTGCCTGCCTGGCCACCCTGTGCCCCGTGCTCTGAGTGTCCCTGCTGGAGCAGGGGATTGGACTGAATGATCTCTAGAGGTCCCTGCCAACCTTGCACATTCTGTGATTTTGTGATTCTTTCCAAACTTTCACATTTCTAGACTCTGTGACCTTGTGACTGTTTGTACAATCCAGAGGAGGAAGCAAAGAGGATGAACTGCCTTGGCCGGCTGTGAGACGGCGGTGCAGGTGGKGACATCTCACAGTGCCAGCTCTCCCCAGGTCTGGTCGGATGGCATAAACACTCTACTGACTCTTGAGTCCAACACTGCTGCTCAGGGAGTTGTTCCCTATCTTTTCACTTTTTCCTGACATACTTTACTGACAGACTATAGGGTTGTATTTGCCCCCACTTGGACATCCTTGGCAAATCCCAGGACCTCGYTTGCCCAGAAGTGACACCCAAAGAGTCACTTCCTTTCCAGTGTAATTGCTTTAATGACAACATGTAGTATCATTGAGGTTAGCTGTATAATATTGTTGTTTATTAACCATTAAGTGCTCCCTGGGCGCTTGCACAGCTGTGACGGTACCTTTTCCATCCCCCCCACCAGTATTCCTGCAGAACGGTGAGGAAATTCCTGCATTTCCTTTGCATAGCGGGAGAGATGCCTGTTGGCCTTATCTTTCTGCCCCAGGATTGTCCTCATTTTGCCTCCTTTATTTTCAGTGAACTGAAATTGATAAAATAGTCCAGGGCAGACACCTCTTGAACTTGTTCCTTTCCTGCAGGGTCACTCAGCAAGGCTGGGGATGCCTTGCTTGTGCGGAAAGAAAAGGGAACAAAGTAAAAGACCCCCTCAGAAAAGTAAAATTAAAATAAAATTCCCACCTCCAGAACGATAAGAGGGACCACAGAAAAGGGATGAAAACAACGCCTTGCACAGCCAGAACGCAGCCAACCTGACTCATGCCACTCAGTGTGATTTGCACAGCTCACCCCAAACGGGCATGTGCAGCTGCTTTACCAGCAATGGTCTGATGGTCATGCTGCTCCAGGACTCCTTTGCAAAGCCTGCTGCCTCTCGCACGTGCTAGGTAGGGTGGGCTAAGTCATCGCGAGGCTCCCATTGAAACTTCCCGGCCCGTCTCTTAGGCTGACAGCTCTGGATACTCAGCATCCACCTGGTTTGAAAGGCAGGGCTTTCTCCATCCTCAGGCAGACCAGTCGTTTCTGCAACGCTATTGCTAATTTAAAAGCTGACAGTTTCCATCTCCCCACCCCTCTGGTTTATTAGGAATGTTTAATCAGACCAGTTGTTGATCGGCCATGCCCTTGGCTCTGGGTGCAGAGGGACGAGAGGGACGGTCATCCACGATGCATGGCTGCCTTTGGGAYGTCCTGCTGGGGCACCCAGGCTCCCTGCACCCCTGGGACCACAGGTCAAGGCTCCAGATGTTCCCGTGGTGGCTTCCAGCCAGTTCCATTGGATCGCTGTTCTCTGGTTTGATGCAATAAGCTCATTGTTCCCCTGTTCATCTTAATTGAGTCATTGTTACCCGATTTCACAGACTGATTGCTGCCTCACTCGATTTAATTAATTG